ATCTGGAGGATATCTGATCCTGAGCAAAGCCTGGAATGTCCTGGGAAGGGGGAGTGATTAGCACATACCCAGGACCCCAGTCATGTTGCCCCGAGTATCTTGGGTCCCAGCAGGTTGCTGGGGCCAGAATCATTTGTGATTTTTCTTGGAACTATTTTTGAGTCTGTTCTTTCTGCTAGGGTGGGGACTGTTACATCCTTCTGCTTTCTGGAAAAGTACTTAGAGAACTGTCATGGGGCCTAAAATTCAAATAGAACCTGTAAGGCTAGCTTGATTTTTTCACTTATGCTCCTGTTTCCAGGGTGAAAATTCTAGTTGCTTTACATCTCTGCTCACACATGATATATACTATCATGTTAATTTCAGACATGTGTTGGGTATGAGTAGTTCTTTGTGGTTTGATATGCATTCACCTGACCTCTGTCTAATAGGACTGAATAAACTTTCACTGGTGTTTTGATTCTTTTGTGTATTTTAAGTACTTTTTTTTTCATTTTTCTGTTTTCCTTTTTTTTTCAAATGTTTTTTTTTTTTTTTATTTTTTTAATTTTTTTTTTTTATTTTTTTTTTCATTTTTTTTTTTTTTTTCAAAATTTTTAAATTCCATTGTCTAATTCTATGAACATTCTTTGTCTATTCTGGATACTATCTCTGCTTCTTCCAGTTCTCCAGGATCACTATGTGGATTAGATGACATTTATGCAGGTGGTGCTATTATAAGGGAAGTTAAGGAAGCACCCAAGACACATGAGGCACTAGAGTAGTACAACAATTCTTTTTCTCTAGTACTTACAATCTGTGTAGTTGTGAAAATAATGTTTGGAAAACAATTGGTAAGAAATATTGTACAGTAAGTACTAATCTGAGTGGTACAGGCTGTGAGTGGACCAGTGTAAGGGAAGTATGACTTAGTCTAGAGCTTTCAGGAAAATGTTGGAAGTAGAGTGAAGGGGAAGAGAGCTTCAGGGAGGGTAAGCCACAAGACCAAGAGACATAAAGAAGGTAGGAAGCAGCATTACTGCTAACCTCTGGTTCTCTCTCTCTGCAGGCCTTTCCTGTTGTCTCAGGCAGGACTGTATCCTTTATGAGGGTGGGGACCAAGGCCTTCCCATTCAGAGCGTGCCTGTGTCTACCACAGTACCTGCCATATACCTCATGTTTGATAAATACGCTTAAATGAATTCAATCCCATTAATGTCTCTATAAACTTAGTAGGATAGGATCAAAGTAGTAGTTAGAGACAATTAGATGAGCAAGCTGTTGTTCTCAAAAAGATTTCTGCAGGAAGTCGTGGTCAATTGTAATTAGAGGGATATAATAGAGAGAGTCTGGTCAGTTTAGGCTTGATGTGGTACATGGGAAAGTATAAGGTGTCACTAAGGGTTCTTAAATAGAGGGAGGTAAAGAGATGAAAACAGTGCCTTGCAAAATCCAAGAGTGACTGAATGGGAATGAACCAGCAGTGGGAACCCAGGAAAGACAATGTTGAAATGATGCAGCTATTCATTTGCTTGCTCAACAAACACCTACTGAAACCATAATAGATATGTGAGGTCAAAGTTCAGGCTCACAGATAGTAAGATGTTCACATTGTAAATCTTGCCACCAAAGACCCTAGACACTGATAGGGATGCTCAGCGAGCACACCATAACTAGAACACAGGAGAAAGTTAAAGTAGAAGAATCACAAGTAGAGACTATGGGCTGTGGGGAGCTTAGATCTGCTCAGCAGGAGGAACCTAGAAGGGTTAATGGGTTAAAGCAATTCTTCTGACAGCCTCCTCGTACCACCTACCACATACTGTCCTCTTTATTACTGTACTCCCTGGAGCTTTCTTGTTTATTTCTTGTTTTACTGCTGTTTGACTCTCCCTTCTCTTACTAGACTGTAAGCTCCCAGGTAAAAAGTTCTTTGTTTGTTTTGAGACAGAGTTTCTCTGTCTCTGACAGCCCTGGCTGTCCTGGACTCGTTTTACAGACCATGCTGGCCTTAACTCATGGTGATCTACCTGCGTCTCCTCCCAGAGCGCCGTGATCAAACGTGTGTGCCACCATATCCGGCTGGTAAAGAGTTTTTCTTTGTCCTGGTTTCAGTTATACCTTTAACACCGCACCAAGTGTGTTCCATTACCATAGCCTTTAGAAAAGATTTCTTTATAGTCTTGTAGATAGATGTCTGTGTCGACATGTGGGTATGTATGTGAGTGCTAGGCCTGAGGAAGCCAGAGGCACATGATACCCCAGAGTCTGAGTTGCAGACAGTTCTGAACTACCTGATGTGGGTGCTGAGAACTGAACGTACATTCACTAGAAGAGAAGCAAGTGCTCATAATCACTGAGTCATCTCTCCAACCCTGCACTATGCATTAGAAAAATAAACATTTTAGAATAAATAAAGTATCAGGCTGGAGAGATGGCTCAGAGCTTAAGAGCACTAGCTGTTCTTCCAAAGGTCCTGAGTTCAATTCCAGCAACCAAATGATAGCTCACAACCATCCATAATGAGATCTGGTGCCCTCTTGGGCGTGCAGGTGTACAACACAGGCAGAATACTGTATACATAATCAATAAATAAATCTTTAAAAAAAAACAGAAAGAGGAAATTAAAAATAAACGAGGTAAATGCTGATCTCAGTATTCGTGTCTTTGAAACCTGGCAGAATGAGGATTGAGGGAGTGGGAGAAGAGAGGACATGGAGAGGACAATTCTGCTTTGTGGGGCGATGGCTGACCAAATCTCAGAAGTGACAACTGTGAGCCTTTGTAGGATGGGCTTCACGTGTAGAGTTGGGTGTGAACAAGGCAGACTGAGAGCATCACTGTAGAAGAGATGCTAATAACATACGTGGGAAGGGGACAGACAGAGCAAGCTAAGAAAGAGAAGGGCCGTAGTCTTGGAAGCTGGAGGTGATGGGCTTGTGAGGGAGATGGGGAAAGTCTTGAAGAGAGCATTTCTGGACAGGTGGTTATCAGTGACTGGTGCTGTAATGTCCAAAGCCATGGAGGTTACAGGTACTTAGTTGTGTCAGGTGAAGGGTATCTAAATAATATATACATAAATAAGTATACACATGTGATATATTCCTTGGCTTGGTACCCAAGACAATAGAGAGGAGTACACATATGTGTATATTACATTTAGGAATATGTATAATCCTTCCTTATTAAAGAAAACTTCCTTACTTTTCTGAGGTTTTGTCATTTCACAATATCTAGAAACCACAAATTAGCCCTTTCCATGCTGATAGGCATTTAGGTTACATCTGTACTCTGCTGTTTCTAATATGCTATACTCTACCGTAGAGTATCTTTATAAAAAAATCTCAGTCTATATCCGACATTATTTCATTGTGCTTCTACCTGAGAAGTGTCATCGCATTTGCTTTCCAAGGAAATAACACCAACTTAAGCTTCTACTCCCTCGATTTGATAATTTCTGTTTCCCCATACTTTCAACCTTATTCCTAGCGTATTAAAAACAAGTAAGAATATTACTTTTACTAACTTGCTAAGTTTTTAAAAAGTAGAAATCTGGCTCACTAGTTAAAAGTACTGGCTGTTTTATTCCCAGCACCCGTGTTGTGTGGCTCACCACCACTTGTAAGTGCAGCTCCAGGCTATCAATGTCCTCTTCTGGTCTTCTAGGGCACCCTCACACTTGTGACATATACGTACAGATACATAGCATTTAAAAATTCTTAAAATAATAATACAATTATTTTCAATTTTTCATGAAGATTTCATGTGTGTGAGACAACTTTTGATTATTATAACAAATGACTTATAAAAAGGCTTCTTTTGGATCACAGTTTTCAAAGTTTCAGTACATGACCAGAAGGCTCTTTGCCTCTAGGCCTGTGAATGGGAATATACCATGGCAAGCACACACATCAGAGCAAAGTGCTCACATTATAGAAACTAAAAGACAAAGTTCTCATATCACCCTTGAATACTTTTCCAGTCACATATGATCTCCTGTCATGCCCTATCTCTTGAAGCTTCCATTTCTTCCCAATAACACCATAGGCCAGGTATCAAGCTGTTACTACATGGGTATTAGAGGGACATTCCAGATATAAACTATAGAAACATGGATGTTGACCATAAGTATACTCTCTCATGGATTTGTTTTATAAAGTTGATGATAAGCTTATGCTCTCATGTGTGTGAGAGAGAGAGAAAGACAGAGAGAGAAAGACAGAGAAAGAGAGAGCTATCTTGTCATTTAGTTGTTTGAGATTATCAGATAGGAGTATTCATTTACGTTTGAAGGTAGAATTCAAAGAACTGAGAGCTGGGCAAGCTCGCATTATAGTGCGAGCCATACAAGTGTGAGGGCTGGAGTTCAGATCCCCAGCATCTATGTGCAAAACCAGAGCTGGTGGCACACCTGTAATACCAGCAACTGAGAAAGCAAAGATGGGAGAATGCCTGGGGATTGCTGGCCAGACAGTCTAGCTGAACTGATGAATTTCAGTTTCAGTGAGAGACCTTGTCGTCCCAACTAGGAGAGTGATTAAAGAAGACATCTGATTTCAACTTCTGATCTTCATGGGCAAATAAACACCTTCACCTCTCTCTCCCCCAAAAAAACAAGAAGAGCTGAAAGTGGAGAGAGGTGGAGAAGGCATATTCTTGGAATTTAGATTTTTTTAAAAATACACTTCTTGTAAGATGTTATGAATTAAACAGAGAAAATATTGAGCTGGGGCCAAGAGAAAGGAGCTGATATTTTGGCTTCAGAAAACATAACTCTTCCTGGTTCATTGCTAAGCTTGAGAGCATCATTCTCTAATTTGGGCATTTAGGAGAACACACACACACACACACACACACACACACACACACACACAAATAATTGATTCTGTTCAGTGTCTCCAAGGTAAGATAGAGAATGAAGAAAGAAGTGATCCAACAAAAGAAGTTGATCATTGAAATATTTAATTATCAACTTTACTTCAAAGTCTCCAGCAAGCCACATAGACAAACAGTTACTACACTCACTGGGCTCCTGTATACTCTGCCTTTAGGGATTTTCTGTTTTCACTTCCTGCTGTGGCCTCCAGAACCTCCCCTCCTTCACTGGGCTCTACAGATGCCTCTGGGCCTCTTTCAGTTCTTGAGCTCAGACCACCATGGTTCTCTCTGGTAGTCTGTTCCTTTTCCTCTGGGAGCTGTCTGTCTTCCTGGGTTGACAGCTCTACCTCCTCCCGCGCTCTGCTTCTCTCATCTGGTGCTCCCTGCTTCTGGGTATCTGGGTTGTTATTGTGACTTCCATGCTTAGACTCTCCATGAGAGTCTACCCGACTATGTGAATCCCCTGTTACTTGTGGCTCACCTGTCTCTGAACTACTTTTACCTACCTCTGGAGCCAGACTGTTGGGAGTTTCACAAGAGCCCACATCACTCTGTGTAACTAATAACTCAAGATCCTCCCCCTCATTGTGGTCCTCTTTCTTGACTGCCTTGTCATGTGTCCTAGGGGCCCTGTGACTTTTTGCTTGAGATTGATTCTCAAGTGGTGCTTGGTCTTGGGACCTTTCTCTTGTTTCCAGTGTCTCTTCAGCTGCAGGGCTGTTTCTGTTGATCACAAATGCATCTGCTGTGTCTTTCTCATTGGGTCTTGCCTCTTTTCCTGAGATGGATTCTTTCTTAGTTGCAGGGAGATTCTGATTTCCGTCTTCAGAGCTTGGATCTTGTGCATCAGATCCCTTTTCAGCACCATTTTCTTGACACTTCTCATTCTGTGTTTGGGTTTCTGGTGCTGGGGGTCCAGTTTTTCTTTCATGTTCTTTCTGCCCCTCCTCCCATTTGCCTCTGCTAGATGTTTCTGAAGCATTTCTATTCCCACTTTGGATGGACTGGCCCTGTGTTTCATGTTTTCCTTCTTGTGCTGGCAATGCGTGGGTCTCGGCTGTTCTACTGTCAGCCTTGGGCTCCTCTAAATTTGTAGTTTCAGGTGATATTTTTCTAGCATCCTTTCCTGGTTCTCGAGTCTCAGATCTTCTAGCATCGTCCTTGGGCTCAAAAGATTCCTGTGTCTGAGATGGTTTCCCAGTAGCAACTTCTACTGGCTCTGACTCAGCTTTGTCTTCTTTTCGTGGGAATGAGTCATGTGCTGTAGAAGCACACCCCTCATCTTCAGATGGCCTCTGTGCTACATGGTCTCTTACCATGGTGTCACTTTGCCTCCTGGCTGTCTTACCTCTCTCTCTGGGGACCTCCTGTGTTGGACCGCTACTCTGTTTAGATACTTCTACTGGTGTATTTCTCTTAAATTGGACTCCATCATATTCTGTTGTTGGTACCTTTTGTTCAGCTTTCTGGTCATCTTCTGGCTGTTTGTTCACAGGGTCACTGGGTTCAGACAACTCTCTTGGCAGTTTGTGAGTCTTAACATCTTCCTGTGGGCTCACCTTAGCGTGCCCATCTGCCTCAACTTCTTCATTGCTGGGCTGAACTGATGGTGCCATTTCTGATGGCAATATCAGCCTTACTTTAGTTCCAGTGATTGCCTGAAAATCCATAGTATCCATCTTCTCTGATTTAGACATCAGTCTTGGTTCAGAATGTAGTAATGGTATGTCAAAATAAAAGAGATTTGATAAGCTGAAGATTACAAGGAGAAAGTCCTCAAAACTGATGGTACCATCTCTGTCAATATTCAGAAGGTTCAACTTTCTCTCCACAGAATTAAAGACATGTGGCTGCATGCAAACACAAAGAAAAGCCAATTTATTCATGGGTAGGAGTGTGTTCTGAGAATCTTCAGGTCTCCTGAGAGTCTTTAACCTATTTCTCTTAACAGTGAAGTTGCCTTAAGCAGTGAGAGCCCACGAATTCTGGATCCCGCCCCCTTTTTTTTCTGTCTTTACACTACGCTTAGTACTAGCGATCCCATCACTTGTGAACTAAGTGAGAAGCAGAAAGGGATTGTGGCTCTGTTCAGAGGTCTGTCTTGATGAAGCAGCAGTTACATAAGGGAAACCTCCCTTTCTCTGTATGACAGACTAAGCAATTGCATAGTAGAGGCACCTAAGACAAAAAAACAAAAACAAAAACAAAACTGCTCAAAGGTCAATAAAAGCAGAGAGGCAGTTAGCCAAGTGCACACAGACAGACAGCCCATCCTGCTTGGGTTACAAAGTGGCAAACAGGAGAAGAGTGAGCTCCTCACCTGAAGGAAGTCCCCAATCTCTCCCTCAAGGAGCCGCCTCAGCCCTCTGCGGGTCAGCCTCGCCTTGTTGTCACCGTCCTCGCTGGCATACTTGTGGAATGTCTCAATGACACAGAAGAGACCTCTCAGGAGCCTTGACATCATTACAAACTCAGAAGGGCTGCAAGGAAGAACAGGGGCTGAAGAGCTGGCTCCGTAGTTCAGAGCACTTTGCAATTGTTGAGGGGGTACCTGGGAACGGTCCCCAGCACCCACATGGCTGCTCACAGCTCTCTGTAACGTCAGTTTTGGGAGATCCAGTTCCTTGGCCTTGGGCACCAAGGTGGTTGGAGCACATACGTACACGCAGGCAAAGCACTCATGCACATAAAATAAAAATGAATAAATCTTCAAAAAGAACCAAGCTCATCTCTCATGATAGGTTCCCTAGGAAGGGCAAACTAAAGTCACCCTTTCTGCTCCTGACTTACCTTCCCACATTGCCTTCTCTATGCTGTATATTAACTATTGTACTTGAGTTTGAAAGGTGTTTTAGTTTTATAAGGGATGTTGAGGTGTTAGAAGGCTTTATTCTATGCTACAATAAGCAGCAATACTCACATGTTGAAGGAACACTTTATTTCAAGAACAGAATGGGAAAAAAGAAAGAAAGAAAAAGAACTCAAGCCTAAGCACTATCATACACAAATGAAGCCAGCAGAGGGGATTAAACCTCTGAACCCCATCTGAGAGTGTCATCTGCTGTCTTCTCACCGGTTTCAGTGGAGCCTCATTTGCTAAGAAAGAGCGTATCACTCTCAAGTTAGTAAAGCTTTTGGAAGGAAGAGAGGTCATGTTCATAACACCAACCCTTGTATAATACATTTTTACCAAGTGACATTGTTCCATGAGAACTCAGTGACTCTCCCTCATTAGCCATCATTTAAATTAATCTACCTTTTCATCTTAATATAAATCTGCGTTCTATATCTTATTAAGCAGAATTTATGGTATGGACCTTATATTTTTTGAAAAAGAAAATGACTGAAGTTCTATTTGCAGACTGTGTCTTGAGGGACTCCCAAGTGTGACATTCTGAGTAGGGGCTGAGCCACCCGCACAGTCTCCACAGTCTCAAGTGTAGGCAAAGCAGGCAGCAGCAGAGACCCTGGGCATGCTCAAGGCCATGAGACTTACCTTGTTCGGGAGTTAGAGCAAGCGGAATGTGGGGCAGCGGGCTGTGAGCCACGGAAGGCACTGGGACCTTTTTATTGAGTCTCTAATTGCTTAGTTAGGAGACACCCTCTGGGTTTTAATGACCTGAGTCATCAACACCAAAACCAGTCTCCCCTCCTTCTCTGCCTCCAGCTCTCCCACATGTTGTTTCCTCCTTTAGGTAGCTTCAGTTAACTCTTATCAGATTCATCAAAAAGGAGAGGAAAGATCACTATTCCACTTACTGATTTTTGTAGTTTATAATTTTGAAGTATTTTCAGGGCTTCAGGGTGGCAGATTTCCAGTCTTTCTGTTCTTAACCCGAGGACATAATTATATATCTGGTTGACAAATCACAAGGCTGGCAGGGACTTCTGAAGTCATATGATTCCTCCCTCTGCCTGCAGTCTGGCCTTTGTTTGACCTAACCTTGGGAAAGGGGTGTCAATCATGTATTTAAAATAAAGCCCTGATTAATCACGGGGCAAGATTGAAGATACTGGTTGATTCAGCTGTTTTCATGTTCTGCTGTCCTTGCCAGATTAGAAAAAAAAAAAAAAATCACTTGCTTACCCAAGACAATGCTATTTTTAAAATATGATTGACATCTGTCTTTAAAGGGTATTTTTATTATTTAAGAAGCTCAGAAATGAACATCTACATTATTGCTTTTTCTCTGTAATGAGGAGAGGCAGCTAAGGAAACTGAGGTAGGGACAGAAGTGAGTCTAAAAATGCTCATTGAGAATAATGTTTTCATTGCTATGCAGATTTGGGTCCTTTTTAGAAATACTTAATTCTGTTGTCTTCTTAGATATTTTAAACGAGAATAGTGTGTGTTTTAAGACATCCTTGACTCTTTTTCAAAGGACATAAGAAGTGGGTAGATTGGGGGCTGGAGAGATGGATCAGAGTTTAAGAGCACTAATTGCTCTTCTAGAGGTCCTAAGTTCAATTCCCAGCAATCACATGGTGGCTCACAACCATCTATACTGGGATCTGATGCCCTTTTCTGATACCCAGATGTGCATGCAGAGAGAACACTAATATACATAAAATTAATAAGTAAATTAAAAAAAAGAAGTGGATAGATCTATGGAAACAAGAATAAAAGACAAAGATGAAGTCAAGTAAAAGGTGAAAATGGGAAATTAAGTGAGAAAGCAGAGGTTAAAAGAGTTGCTATTAGTCTCAGCATCTGCTTTGATACCCTGCTGGGTAGAGTCTTTCAGAGGCCCTCTGTAGTAGGCTCCTGTCCTGTTCCTTGTTTTCTCCCTCTTCCGATGTCCATCCCATTTGCCCTTCTGAATGAGGACTGATCATCTTACCCTGGGTCCTTTTTCTTGCTTAGCTTTTTTAGGTATACAGATTTTAGTATGTTTATCCTATATTATTTGTCTAATATCCACTTATAAGTTAGTGTAGACCATTGTGTGTCTTTCTGCTTCTGGGATACTTCACTCAGAATGATCTTTTTGAGATCCCACCATTTGCCTGCAAATTTCATGATTTCCTTGTTTTTAATTGCTGAGTAGTATTTCATTGTGTAAATGTACCACAATTTCCATTCTTCAGTTGAGGGACGTCTGGAAGCAGATGCTGAGACTCATAGCCAAACTTTAGACAGAGTAAGAGAATCTTATGAAAGAAGAGGGAGATAGAAAGACCTGGGATGGGGGTGGAGGGACAGGAGCTCCACAAGGAGAGCAACAGAACCAAAAAACCTGGGCCCAGGAGTCTTTTCTGAGACTGATACTCCAGACAAGGACCATGCATGGAGATAACCTAGAACCACTGCTCAGATGTAGCCCATGGCAGCTCAGTCTCCAAGTGGGTTCCCTACTAGGGGAACAAGGGCTGTCTCTGACATAAACTCAGTGGTTGGCTTTTTGATCACCTCCCCCTGATGAGGGAGCAGCCTTACCAGGCCACAGAGGAAGACAATGCAGACAATCCTGATGAGACCTGATAGGCTAGGATCAGATGGAAGGGAGGACTTCCCCTATCAATGGACTGTAGGAGGGGCATGGGAGAAGAAGGAGGAGGGAGGGCAGAATTGGGAGGGGATTACCAGAGGGGGCTACAGCTGGGATACGAAGTGAATAAATTATAATAAATTAAAAAATAAATTATAAAAAAAGTTTAAAAATTATCTGTCAAAAAAAAAGTGTTATTTAGTAAAATCTTTATTCTGAGTTTCCTGACAGGTTAACTGAGGGTTAGGCAATTCCTTCTGATCGTTTCTATCATTAAACAGTTTCTCAACACACCCCTCATTACAAAGAAGCACTGCTACTGAAAGGTAGCATCAGCATGAGGTCAGTTTGGTTTTGATTAGTTAACATTCTACCTATACAAACTGTTTTATTTAGCATTGAACATGTTGTGTGTCTTGCCTTGGAGTGCAATGATCAGTCTCGTGAGAAGTGGTTGAAGGAAACTGTGTACAAGAGAGACTCAGGTGAGATATAAATAACTGTCTTCTAACAGCAGCCATTTCCATGGGTGTGGAAGAGAGAGGAATGTTCATGGCATATCAGGTGCTTCGCACGGGCTGTCTTATGCCTCACAGTGCTTGTACATAGTTATTATCCTCTTAATAGATGGAGAAATTAAGGTTTGTAATTGTTGAGCAACTTGTGTGTAGGCATGTAACTAGTAAATGGAACCATCAAGATTCAGAATCTAAATGTCTCCAAGACCATAGCTCCATGCTCTGTGTAGTGCAGAGAATGATTGCAGCTAAAAGATTACAGATCCCATGGCTGGAACTTTCGAGAAGCCAGACTCTGGTTCTTCTTATGAACTTTCTAATGAATAGAGTTGTCTGACACTGAAAAGTACCTCTCCTAAAGCAGGAGTTCACAGTTCCTGTATCTGTTCACAGAGAGGCTGAGTCTTTAGGTTATGGGAGAAGAGCCCTGCCATGGTAAGAATAAGTAGTTCATGAGGAAACACAAGATACCTATGTTCAGCATTCAGCAAGCTTAGTTAGATTGGGGCCAATACCAGCATCAGCCTTCTGCTGATAAGGTGTTAGATTCCAAAGATCAAATTGTATCTACATTATTTACTGTTGCCTGACCTTATGCCCTGGCCAGATAGTTTTTATTTGGTTTATTTTAATACTTACTTATGTGCATATGTGTTTGTATGTACAAACATGCATGGGCATGCAGGGGGTGGGAAGCATTGGGTCCACTGGAGCTGCAATTGTGAGCTGCCTGAGGTGGGCAACGGGGGGCAGAACTGAGTTATGGTCTTCTGCCAGAGCTGTAAGGTCTCATAACCCCACCAGCTAGATGTCCAGCTCTTCCAGCTTTAAATATCTATGGTTATATATTCCAGTTCCTACTCAGAAAGGCAAGACTGCCTTTTGCCTTACCTCTGAACACTATTAGAAAAGGCTCTTGATCCCTTATCCAGACCAGCTATTATTCCAGTGTTTAATGAAAACTGTGTTTTAATACACATACTCTGAGTGAGAGGTGACTTAGAAAGTTATGGCAGAGCAGGAAGGAAATTTCTCTGTGTCTTCTGTTTAAAGGTCTTTAGACTATAATACAATAAGCCACAGATACCTCTACTATGACCAAAAAGAAGAGCCTGGTCACCCTTTATTGTATTAAACAGATCTCTGGAATCATTCTTGGGTAATGTTCTCACCCCTATAATTTTGTGTAGGTATGACATAAAAATGAGAGAGGGTGAAGGAAAGGAGAAGGAGGTTAAATCAATGGGAGCAGGGAGAGGGAGGATAAAGCCCAAGAACTATTTCTCATGAAAAGTCACAAGTTGAGTCTTGAATAAAAGCATCAAGTAAAGCATATATGATAGCCACTTTGGAGAGAATGACCAATAAAATAATTTATACATTTTAATGATTATAATAATGGAGAGTTTGGCAATGAGTGAAGGTTTCAGCCTATTTCCACAATCTTATTTTAC